CAGAAAGGCACTGGGTGAGAGGTAGCTGCTCAGACCCTTCCTGGGCCTGATTGGTCAGTCATTGGATGGAAAAGAAGAGGCAAGGTGGGCTGTGGTAGGAGGGTCAGAGGGTTGCTTGTGTATCATTTGGCTAACAATGTTTCTTTGTCTCCTTCCTTCTCCTGTCTTATAGAACCTATGTGTAAACAAAGATGTGAACAGCTTGGGTTCTATGGAATTTATCAACACTGCTGTGTGGAGACACAGAGAATCAAACACAGCAGCCTCCAGGTCCCTAGTGCAGCCTCAGAAGGTCTGGGGAGAGCAGGGCAGGGCTTCCCTGCCTCAAAGTGATCAAAGATCTGGAGCCAGTTGGGCCAGGGATGCAGGAAATAAAGACTATATGTATCTTGAATGGGAGGAATGGCAGAGCAGACCCTGGTTCCTTCCTAAGGACCCTTTCCTTAGGAGGAGTTCTTACCTTCTGGGTCAGTGTGTAGGCCATAACCTTGTCTTAAAAATGACTTTATAGTCTCTTTATGGAAAGGAGCAAGTTAAATCCCGGAGTGTCCTCATGAGACCACATAAGCAATACTTGGATGAGTTTTATAGCCTCACCCCCTGGAAATGGGTTTTAATATGGTCTTGAACTCTTGGCCTGAAGTGATCCTCCCACCTTAGCCTCCCAAATCCTGGGATTCCAGGCATATCTTAGTCACTGATTTATAAAATCATCACTAATTATACATTAGTTGAGTTGTCTGGCCTAAGATCTTTTTGTGGAACCCTCATTTACTTGCCCATGTTCTTAGTTATTTTTGTTTTGCCAGGCACAACTATGAAGGTTGACCTAGCAGACATTCTCATACACTGCCTGGGAAACTCTCCCTGGGTAATGCTTTTTTTTTTTATACAGAGTCTCACTGTTACCTGGGTGCATAGAATGCAGTGGCTTCATTGTATCTCACTGAAATCTCAAACTCCTGGACTCAAGTGATTCTCCTGTCTCAGCCTTCCACGTAGTGGGATGAGAAGTGTGCAGTCACCATGTTTGGCTGATTTTTCTATTTTTAGTAGGGACTGTGTCTTGCTGTTGCTCAGGCTTTTCTTAAATTCCTGAGCTAAAGTGATCCTCCTGCCTCACCTTCCCAGACTGAGAGGATTACAGGTGTGGACCACTGTGTCCAGCCCTTGGGTACTAACTTTGTAGAGAGAAATTCATCAATATGTATCAAACACTTACAACATCTATTTTCCAACACAATATTATTTTAATGAGCAATTGGACAAAAAATATTCAAGATGTTCACCTAGTACTGTTTATACTTACAAACATTGAAGATAGCCAGCATCCTTCAATGTGGGTCCAGTCACATAAAGAATAGCACATACCCAAAAGGAAATGCCAGGCAACTGTGAATCACACAACTGCATGGGCTGTATTGTTACATAGAAAAAGAGCACTATTAATGTAATCCCCATTAAAGTCCCACTGTCATACTTTAAAGATCTTGAGAAAATAATACTTCATTTTATCTGGAATCAGAAAAAGCCTTGAATAGCCAAAACATTACTCAGGAATAAAAACAAAGCAGGAGAAATCACACTACCAGACCTCAGACTATACTATAAATCGATAGTGATCAAAACAGCACGGTATTGGCACAAAAACAGAGAGGTAGATGTATAGAACAGAACAGAAAGCCAACAGATGAATCCAGCTACCTAACATTACCTCATCTTTGACAAACCAATTAAAAACATTGAATGGGGAAAAGATTTCCTATTTAACAAACGGTGCTGGGTGAACTGGCTGGCAACCTGTAGAAGACTGAAACTGGATCCACACCTTTCACCATTAACTAAGATAGATTCTCACTGGATTAAGGACTTAAACTTGAGACATGAAACCATAAAAATACTAGAAGAAAGTGTAGGGAAAACACTTGAAGAAATTAGCCTGAGTGAATTTTTTATGAGATGGACCCCACGGGCAATGGAAGCAACATCAAAAATACACTATTGGGACCTGATAAAACTAAAGAGCTTCTGCACAGCCAAGAACACAGTAAGTAAAGCAAGCAGACAGCCCTCAGAGTGGGAGAAAATATTTGCAGGCTATGTCTCCGACAAAGGTTTAATAACCAGAATCCATAGAGAACTCAAACGCATTAGCAAAAAAACAAAAAATAAACAAGTGATCCCATCGCAGGGTGGGAAAAGGACTTGAAATTTCTCCGTAGAAGATAGGCATGCAGCCTATAGATATATGAAAGAAATGTTCACTATCCTTAATCATTAGAGAAATGCAAATCAAAACTACTTTGAGATATCACCCAACTCCAGTTAGATTAGCCCATACTACAAAATCCCCAAACCAGAGTTGCTGGCGTGGATGTGGAGAAAATGGAACACTTCTACACTGCTGGTGGGAATGCAAATGAATTCGTTCCTTTTGGAAAGACATCTAGAGAACACTTAGAGAACTAAAAATTGACCTGCCATTCGATCCTACAATTCCTTTATTAGGTATATACCCAGAAGATCAAAAATCACATTACAATAAAGATATTTGTATCAGAATGTTTATTGCAGCCCAATTCATAATTGCCAGGTCATGGAAGAAGCCCAAGTGCCCATCGATCCACAAATGGATCAATAAACTGTGGTATATGTACACCATGGAATATTATGCAGCCCTAAAGAAAGATGGAGACTTTACCTCCTTCATGCTTACATGGATGGAACTGGAAAATGTTCTTCTTAGCAAAGTATTACAAGAATGGAAGAAAAAGTATCCAATGTACACATCCCTATTATGAAACATCCCTATTATATAGTTTTCTCAAGTGAAAACTACAACCTAATTCTAGCCCAAGAATATGGGGAGGGGGTCGGGGAGAGGAGGGGGGAAGGGTGGATGGGTGGAGGGAGGGTGATTGAAAAGATCACCTATATGGTCTGTTTAACAAGGGTACAAGTGAATTTTTCTAGAACTAGAGTATAAACGTTTTAACACAATAACTAAGTAAATGACACTAAGTCTATGTTAACCAGTTTGATGAAAATATTTCAAATTGTATATGAAAGCAGTACACTGTACCCCATGTTTGCATTAATGTACACAGCTATCATTTAATAAAAAAAAGAAAAAGAGCACTACAAAGTGGTTATCATATTACATAATCCTCCATGTATGTTTGTTTTACTTTTAACAGTTTTTTTGAGATATAATCTACTTACCACACCGTTCACTCATTTAAAGTGTACAAAATGGGGAGATGTTGGTCAAAGGGTACAGAGTTCTAGCTGAACAGGAAGAATGAGTTCCGCAGATCTGATGTATATAGAACATGGTGACTATACTTGAAGTTTGCCAGGAGAGTATATCTTTAATGCCCTCATAACAATAAAAAAGAACACCACAAACCCTGATACTGGTCTGAGGTGATGGATATGTTTATGAACTTGACTATGGTAATAGGTTCATAACATATACCTATATCAGAATAGGCACACTGTAAATATACACAGTTTAAATTTGTCTTTTGTTTTTTCTTTGAGCACCTTTGAAAGGGTTTATTCACTTTTGAGAGCACAAGTGAGGACAGGGCAAGTCTGGCCTGAAACCTGCTCTCAGCTGCAGCATTTCCAGGCCCCTGTGTGGGCCAAAGGGGGTTGGGGGAAGAAATAAAGTGTATGATTCCATGGTTTCTAATACATTAGCAGAGTTATACAACCATCATCACCATCAATTTGAGAATATTTTCATCATCCTCCTACCAAAAAAAAAAAAAAAATTTAAGAGTTTGAATCTGGAGGGCAGGCTTCCTAGAGCAGAGATACTGGCCCCTGGCCTGGGAAGAACAGGGTGGCTCTTGGGTCCTACTGCAAACTGGCCAGTGGCAGGCCTAAAGAGGCCCCAGTGAGTGCTGCATGGCTAGGGGCTGTTGAGTACATGCAGGCCCTAGTGCTGGGCCTCCTGTCCCACTACAAGTGCCTCTTGCAGGCTGTGGGCACCAGCCAGTGTACCTGGTCTGTTTCTCAGCAGAGAAGCCAAGGCAGGGAGAACAAGGAGTTCTGCGTCCTGGAGGGGTGCAGCATGTCCCACATTGTGCTCTTGGTCTGTGGAGTGAAATAATTAGACCTTCTCATGGGTCCTCTGATGCTGTTGAGCAAAATCAACCTAAGACACACCAATAGCCACACCTGAAGTCCTCTAGCCTGGCATGTCCGAGTCATAGTCAGGAGTATCCAAACTTTTGGCTTTTCTGGGCCACATTGGAAGGAAAAGAGTTGTCTTAGGCCACATATTAAACTCACAAACACTAATGAAAGCTGAAGAGCAAATTAAAAAAAAAAAAAAGATTTGTGTCTAATTTTCACAGTATCTGCCACCACAGATAAGCAAAAAGTACTAACACAGTAATCTTAATTACGCAGCAACCTATTCAGAGAGTCTTTTAAAATCACAAAGCAGGTTCCAAGTTTGTAATCACTAATATAGAAAATATACATATCTAAGTAATAAAACATAATTTTTTAAAAAAATATTTTTTATTACAAAAATAAAAGTGGGCAGCATAAAACTATTGAATATGTGATATTGTAATTGAGAAAATAACATATCAATATCTGGTTTGGTAGAAGTAGTTGTAATTCTTAGTGAGTTCTCAAGGTGCTTATCAGATATTTTGTTTCTAATTTAACTCTTAATGTGCTTCATTCTTCAAAGTAGTTGAATGTAGATGCTGCTAAACAGCGAGGACATGAATAAGGTGTGATTGTGAAGCAAGGGATATTTGTCCCAGAAAGATAGGACCTCTAAAAGTCCAGTAAAGAGACATGATCGACTTTTTCTTTAAGTTGAATGTCAAATTGCAGCTCTATGCCTTTGAAAATTGGCAGGTAATTTATTTACGTCAACTGAAAATAGACTTGCAAATGCACCAAAATATTGATTATTTTCCAAGGAATCTTGCAATCCATTTTCAAATTCTTATATCAAAAAGACAAGCAAAGTGCTCACTTTGGCAGAACATATACTAAAATTGGAACAATACAGAGAAAATTAGCATGGCCCTGTGTAAGAATGACATGCAAATTCATGAAATGTTCTATATTAAAAAAAAAAAAAAAAAAAAGACAAGCTAGGCTGCATCATGTCCTGCTGTTCATGTTTAGCTGACTTGTTGAAATACATAAAATTGTTTGCCTTAATCCAAGTTTGCCATAATTTCAGTTTCATTTGGAACACTGTTATGGTTTGAAACATTGTATTGATAAATTGGTTTTCACCTTGAAGATACATGTTTATATTTAAATGAGTGGTTAAATCCTCTAAAATGCTAAATATGTAAACTAGTTTTCATTGTCAAGTTCTGGTACAAATTTGATTTTTGATACTGTAAATGACTTGATAACATGTCACAAATAATAAAATATTTTCAACATTTGGTATTGACTTAGCCATCTCACTTCTGAAAAGTAAATGAGGTTGCCATAGTTAGCATCAAAACTTTTAAGGAATTCCTGAAATTGGCCCTTGTGAAATTCACAGTTTTGATAATGATTTGCATGATGTTATCCATTTTTTTCAAGCTTTGTGCATAATGTTTTTTATGTACTATGCAATGATACTTTATCAAACGAGTTTTAGATGGCCATCACATCATCTTCCACTTGTTTTAGAAGTCCCTCTGTTTTACCTACTCTTACCCAAGCACTGTCACAGTAGCTATACCAGATACGTTGACGACGGACAGAGAAAATTACTGAACATATATTTATACTGCTTCACATAAATCTTTTGATTTATTTGTATCTTTTAATGGCACTAAAGATACCATTTCTTCAGTGACAATATATTTGTCATCAATACTTCTAACATTCATTTTTCTAACAAAAATGGCAAGTTGAGCTGCATTTGTAGTATCAGTGTTGTCATTCATTGCCAAAGCATAAAATTTAAAATTAGCTACTTTACTCTCCAAAATTCTTTCCATAGATTTTTCAGTTTCTTCAATTTGCCTGGCTATAGTCGAATGAGACAAACTGATTTTAGAAATATGATCTCCTCGGCTTGGCGCCCATGCACAGTGGTTAGGGTGCCAGCCACATGCACTGGGGCTTGTGGGTTCAAACCTGGCCCGGGCCTACTAAACAACAATGAAAACAACAACAACAAAAATAGCTGGGCATTGTGGTGGTCACCTGTAGTCCCAGCTACTTGGGAGGCTGAGGAAAGAGAATCACTTAAGCCTGAGTTGGAGGTTGCTGTGAGCTGTGACACCACAGCACTCTACCAAGGGTGACGTAGTAAGAGTCTATCAAAGAAAGAAAGAAAGAAAGAAAGAAAGAAAGAAAGAAAGAAAGAAAGAAAGAAAGAAAGAAAGAAAGAAAGGTGCTCCCTTATTTTAAGAGCAAATTACATCTGCCATGATTTCCATACATTGCCTACTAAACTCACCATGAATCAGTGGTTTTGATTTTTTGGCTATTAAATATGCTACCACATAACTGGCTTTTATAATTTGAATTGTAACAAAAAAAATTGTTGAGAAGACAGTTTTATTTTTCAGTTTCACTATTTTGTCCTTATGACACAGCCTTCATATGTATCAAATTTGGTCACATGTTTTTGCATATAATGCCTTTTCAAATTATAGTCTTTGAAAACTTGCATAAATTCCCCACAAATTAAACAGAATGTCCTACTATTTGCTTCAACAAAAAGGTAGTTATCTCTCCACTTTTCACTGAACAATCTTGTTCACCTATAATTTTTCTTTTAGGGGATGCTCTTATCTTTTGAGATGTGTAGAGCCATGCTGAGATTTAAAAATTAATGGATAAGGGACTATATTTACTTTTATTATGAAAATTAATTGACAGGAAAATAGGAAGCAAGACTTAGGCCCTTCCACACCTGGGCTGCCAATGCAGGGTGAGGCTGAGGGCCAGTTAGAAAGCATGGCAGATGATGTGTGTGATGCCACTGGGGTGTGGAATTAACCTTAATAATCAAATAGGAATGCTTACCTGATTTCTAAATAACACTAAACACATAATGTTGCAATGGTAGATTGAAATATTATTGATAATCACTGCCTCCCCAAGTCACCATGAGCACATGTAACATCTGCTGATGTTAATTTGACTGTCTTCACTTAGAAGATAATACACTGGAAACTTGCACACCACCATAAAACTGAAGCCATACATGTGTACAAATAGCCAGAGCATATGTATGTTTATTTTACATGACATTGTGACATGACGTTGTTGTCTACAAAACTCATGCTCAATAACTGCACAACTGAATTCCATGAAAAGAATAACAAAAGAATCTCACAGTGTTTTGAGGAAACCTATGATTTTATGTTGGGTGGCATTCATAGCCATTCTGGGCCACATGTGATCCTCAAGCTACATGTTGGATGCCCTTGCTCTGAATCTGATGTTACAAAGATGGGTGCTATGAGACATAAACAGTTATGCAGCAAAGGCTCATTCTCTTTGGCTGCTAACTGGGTGGCAAGATTGAGAGTAGACAATCTTTAATAACAAGTAGCTGCTACTGCCTGAACACAATCTTCTCATAATTAGTGTCCTGTGGCTTTCACAAGTATGCCACTGGCCATGGGACGCCTCCCTGTGTTTCTCTACTAAGATTCCAAGGCCCAGTCCTTATTTTTCATGAATATATAATTTAAATTCTTTCTGTGAGTCAGACAACCCCAAAGGGCGGAGCCTTGATAAAACTCTACTCTGGTTTTTTTGAAGGCATTTTGACAGTGTATGGTCCAGACCAGGGCCTCCACATCTGACTCTTTCAGAGCCTCAGACAAGGGTTTTTCTGTTAGTCCAAAGTTTGGGATCCAGATGCAACAGAGCTCTGCCATTTTAGATATACCCTCAGTTGTCATGAGCTTCCTTGTCAAGCTCTCACTAAACAGAGCAGGAGAATTTTGAATCTGTTAGGTAACACAGTCCAGCAGTATGGTGAGGTCCTCCTATTATCAAGATCCTGTCAATCAGATGTGACTGAGGACCACTGATAGTCACTTGTACAAAATCATTAATGACAAGTAGATCCTGTGGGAATCTATTCTCATTGGTATAGGCTTCTTGACAGGTAAAATTAGATGAAGCAGTCATACCCTAGAAATCTGCATAACTGGTGTGGCTCTTAAACTTGAAAGCCATTAAAGATGGAACCTGCAGCTGAAACTGCTGCTTCTCTAGAGATATCTGTAGGGGAAATTATTTGGGCATAACAAGTCTCAGCCTAGGAGGGGCATTAGGTCCCCACTGTGAATTGCACTTGGGGCCCCTGTTGGGATATTTGTATTGAAGCCACGAGTAAGGCCTGGAATCTTGGTCCCATCATCGAAGTGGACCCTTTGAAGGGTGCCCTTAAGTAAGTAAATGAGGTGAAAGCTATATTAATTAGTTTGATGTAACTGTTCAAAATTGTATAAAAAAACAACACATTGTACCCCACAAAAACATAAATGTATTCATGATCTATGTGTATATGACTTAATAAAAGGAAAAAGAAATAAAAAATAAATAAAGGAGAACTCTCTTCAGGGCTCCTGTCAGTTTCTCCAGGGTTGGTCATGTTACCGCATGGAATGTCCCACAGCACCCATCTTTGTAACTTCAGATTCAGGGATCTAAACCAAACTTCCTTCCTTTTGACTTTCTTGAGGACCTTGGTTGGCACTAATAACAGAACACACATAGATTTTGGTTTCTGTTCTTTGCTAGGATCATAAACCTTAAAGGAAATAGAATTCATGCCAATTGCCCCTTCCATATGCTGTAACTTTCTTTGTATATCTAGAGCACTCTGCCCTATAAAAGTCATACTAATATTTGTACACACATTAAGGATTTCTCCTCACACCATCCGTGTGTCTGCTTTAGGATCCCAGTTTGTGTATGTCCAACAATACCCTGCTGGCTGTTCTTACACATTCAAACTCTCTATCTGATATTACTGCAATGGAAATTGCCCTGCCCCAGCTATGGGTGTCCTCCAGCCAAACTGAGTTCCAAGCAGGTCTTGGAAGGAGAGACAATTCCTACTCTAGAATCCTAACCCAGTGACTGGGTTATGGACTAAGGAATTAATTCCAGTTGTGTCCTCCCTGGGTCTCTCCTGTGGTGCCAAGATGGTGGCCTTGGCTGTAACAGTTGTCCCAAGCCTAGCTCTATGTGGAGCCACTTCTGGGAGCAGCCACAGTGACCAGGACAGTGGGGCTCAGCCATGTGAGCTCGAGAGTGACTGAAAACCTACTGCCTTCCCTGGCAGGTGGGGAGCTGGCAGTGGGGAAGCAGATCGTGAGTTCCAATCTGGTAACTCCTCTCTAATTTTATTACACAACCTTTCAGCTCCCCATGGTGCCATTGCATGAAAGATTATACACATGGGATCTTGCCCCATTTACCTGATCTTTGACAAAATAATTCCAGTTGTAAGAACAACTAAAGGTTCCATTCAACAGGTACTTCTCCTCCTACTCCAGCATGTACAATAACACCATTCTCTTTTAGATACAGATGTAGCTATAATTTGGTCATTCAATTAACATTCTCCCCTAGGGGCTTTCAGATGGAACAAAAACAGAGCCTCCCATGTTGATAAACAACAATGAACACAACATGATAAGAAGTCAATACAAGGAATTCCCCAATGCGAACAATGTCAAATACCAAGGCCTACCAAAGGGAACCATACAAACATTCCCTAGGTTTCCTACCAACAGGATCCATCAAGAGAGAACTGAGCCCTCCAATTCAAAAGGAGAAGAATCCCCAGTTTCCCTAGTTCCACTCAACTGTGGCTTCCACCCCCCATGACACCTTCACACAATTGCCCTGCCAGAGGGCTACAAATGAATGCCCTGTCACAGGGCTAGAAGGTTCAACAACCTTCCCTAAATGAGTGAAATCAAGGATCTTGGCATGCACATTAGGAAACATACCCAAATGACTGAAGTATTTTCCCCAATCTGTTTCCTTTTCAAGAAGGTTCAAGTTGCAAGGAATTGTAACTGATTCTGGGAAGGGAGAGATGGCAGTTCCCCTGGAGCTAAACAGGCTCTGGCAGCTGAGTC